ACGCTCTTCTGTTGACTGAGACAAAACCCATCCAACATCATAGGGTGTTGTTCAAGATGCTTGGCTGCATGGGGTCCTGTGGCTCTGGTCACTGATCACAAAACACTGATTCTTTATGTGTGGCTGCTTTAACCAGCACTGTTACAAAGTTCACCTGGAGCTGCATTGCTTGCTGTGTCAGCACAAAAATGCAGCACAGTGGATCAGTGTTTGAAATATAGCTGGTTATAATCACTCACAAACTACAAAGTATGACGACGATTCCTGCACACAGTTTTAGGTGGCTGTGTTTGCATTCAGGTTTCACACACACACCACAGTTTCTAACAGTGCAATGCAGAGCAGTGCAAGCACAGACAAGAGTGCACCAGGCCACTTTCACCTATGTTCTCTTCATCACGGTGGGTGGTTATTATCTGGTGGTCTATCATTTCAAAGGTGTGAAGTTGAAGAGTCGTGTCAATGACACTTGGAATGATAGCCTGTGTCTGGTATTGTTGTTGTTATGTGTTTGACTATTTATAATGCTGAATCAAATTGCCCCCCAGGAATAATAAAGATACCTTGAACCTTGATTGTGGCCCCTAGCAGGTACATTTGGCCATAGTCAGTACCAAAATATGTGAAACACTACCAGATGCACTTTATACACTAATCATCTGTATATATTTCTATAAATTAGCTCTTGATTTAAAGGTCTGTTTAGCCTCGAGGTTCCCCTGCAGTTAAATTTGTTGTATCATCCTGCCTTGCAACTTTACTCACCCTCAGCAATTTTCATTTGTTTCAGTTTCAGCTGACACTTTAATTGTTGGATGCCTAAACAGCTGTTCAAAGGGGTTTCTTCATCCCAATGAGTAGAAAATTCAAGCAGAAATACTGATGTTTCAAGCATTAAATTATTACTATTAAAGTGCACCCAGCATCAGCAGAATATTAGAGGAATTAGAAGCATTTCAGGTTGTATATTCTTAGCTGCAACCTGGCCTTGAAAGTGCATTTTTACACAGCCACAGTGTTTATCAGCACCGTGTGACCAACAACTACACATCTCTCAAGACTGGCTAATTAATAACTTGGCAGTTATGCTACAACGTTGCACTGCACCCTCTGTAAATCTTTGTAATACAGTTGTCGCCAGATCACTGTCATTTCTGTTGAGTCCCAACAGGTGGCACTCCACACTGCAGCTTCCAGAGCAAAACAGCTCTGAAATTCACACCTTTATTAGTCAACCTGACATTTATGCTAATGCCGAAAATGGCTGAGAAGGAGGGGGAGAGAGACTGAAGAGATGTTATTAAAATTAGCAGCCATTGCTTTGTGTGTGTCGGTTTATTTTTAGGGATGAAAAATGTTTTGTTTCCACATCACCTAGTATCACAGTTAAGTGGATATAACTCATATTTTCCAAAAGAGAGCTCCTTTTAAGGAGAAACTCCATTTCTCCTTTGTTTATTCATTTAATTTCATGGCAGCTGAGTCTGCTTTAAAGCCATGTCAGAAACAACACAAGTGGATTGTTTCCAAAATATAAACTTTCTTTAAGCCATGCAGGTCATGGATGAAGCAGGTGACTCAATGGTCACAGCTCTGGCTGTGAATCTCTCCCCCTCACTTTCAAAAAATTTGTTTCAGCTCCGGGCCCTGCACAGTCACATATGTCAGGCATTTGCATGAGAGAAATTGGACTTAAATGGGAAACACATGACTCATTTTGTCTCAGCCCTGACAGCTGCAACAGGCCAAGCGGTTATTGAACAAATATGATTCACCTCAGAACAGAGGGAGTCTTCAAAGCTTTCCAATGTGGAATCTCTGACGTAAGCTGAAAAATAAAGAGATATTCAGGGGGATTTAGTGTGAAATATATTGCGTTACATTCAAACCATATCAAGAGTATTCATTTTCATTTCACTCACTGGATTTTTTTCTGACTTTAGCCTGGCAATAGTTATGAATTCTGCATTAGCAATCAATACAAAAGACTATTATGCAGCGCAGTGCTGGGCCCTGGTCTCCACTTGGCTCATATCCCCAATACAGTAAACAGCCCACAGATGTTTTACATTGATATTAACAACCTTAATTTGTCCTGTGCTGAAAAAGGCCAAGCATAGCACGGGGATTACGTTTTCAGCCATGTATCACACACAGCACAGACAGCAATCTCATTTAGCTTGAGTGAAGTTTACAGTGAGTGGGTTTTGCATAGGTCATTAGTTGTCTCAAAATACCCCTCTGTCACCATAGCAACTTCAAGTGACTGCTAAATTGCCTTATGAAATGAGATAAATTATTAATGCTGAGAGTTTTTTTTCTTCTTCACTATGTGTGTCTCTGGGCTCTGAGCAAAATACTGTGTTTCCTTTCCTGCTCTGCTGTAATGGAACAATTCAGCAGTTGTCATTCATATTTCAGAATGTATCCTTTGTCTCTGTTCTTTAATAGGCTCATTGCTTTGTCCTGGTTTGCTGATATATCGCAGGGATTACACAAATTACAGCAGTATTGCACACATGACAAGTGAAGCTGTATTCAAATAGAATACCTTATGACTAATCTTGAAAACTGCCGGTGTGAAATGACTGCACTTTAATTGCCCATACACACAGTTATTTGACATACACATAATGCAGTGCTCTCAGCCCAGAAAGCAGGTTGACACGCACCAGTGAATAATCTGATCTTGGATGCCTGCTGACATTTATGCCCATTTTATAACAATTCAGCATTTGACAGGAAAGGCAGCAGTGATGCATTACACAGATGGTAAATGCTGAGGTCACTGTCCCTATGCGACTTCATGGTCAGTCGTAGTTTGACCACTGGCTGCAATAACTTCTCTGAGTCGTACATGCTGAGATCGGGTTCCACATTAATGTATTCCTCAGATGTGGAGGTGACACTGTGACCTCTTCAAAAACACAGCTTTGCTTTTTAGATTCTGTGGCATTCGCCTCACTCCTTCTACTGAAAACATCCAACTCACAAGCAGCTGTAACTCAATCTAGCAAACTGCCTTTTCAATCACTCTCATCTTTTATAGTTATACCCATCAGACATTTACATAAATACATTATTCATACTTATAATCCCGGTTTCAGATGGGGAGATATAAAATGTGACTTTGTGTGTGTGCGTGTGCAGACAGCAGGGGAATGAAGTAGCCTGTTTTGTTTGTGGTTTGTAAATTTCTGATTCAGCCGAGCACTCACCATCAATGAGGCAAATTTACATTTGCTGCAGCAGTAATAACCTAAAACCCACAGTGATGTTAACACTTGTATACACTGGAATTCACATTGCCCTATCTCATGATTACATTTGTGCAGCTCTTAATAAAATGATTCAATTGACATTATCAAACAATTCAGCTGTAATAATGGTCTATGAATGTGAAATTGTGTTTTGCAGGCAATTAGTTCACTGTCGTGGCAGCCATTCAGACCAGGCCAACCCAAGACATATATAAATATATGATATTAGCCATGATCAGTGGCCACAGCTATGACTGTTGAATGTTGTAATTGAAAAGGTGGATTGCAGAGACCATAAATTATGCATAAACATGATGAGGCATGGTGGCTTAGATAAACAACTGTGATATTAGAGGAGAACAAAAGGGGAGAAATGTATCCGTTTTACCACAGGCTTTCTGTTCTGCTGTGAGCAGCGCTGATCCACACAGTTCACTGCATGCAGCGGCTCCTTTGATGTTCTGAAGATATGACTTCATAACAGATATTTATGAGGTAAGTCAGTTAATATTCAGCCTACAGTACACTGGCTGACACCTGCTAATATACACAGAAACTCTCCAACAGCCTCCAGATGAACATATCGAACCGATGTCCTGATAAAAGTGACCCACTGTAGGTGGACTCACATCTGATTGAAAGGAGAGAAATGTAACACCGTGTCATAAGAAACTAAAATTAGCCCAGCAACATCTCTTAGATCTCCTGTTACCTTTCTTGAAGCCAAGCTGCAGATGAGGGACATTGTCATGTGATTACAGCAGCGCAAAGACGCAGGTGTAAAGTTACTATTGAAACCTAGACAAATTTACTTGATGGATTTTTAATGTCCCAAGGCTTTCCATTGATGATAGATGGATATCTACTGGGTAATGCAATTGTGCATGTGGAATGAGCAGGCGAGAGAGCTAGGCTCAGGAGCTTTCTTGCTTTAGTCATTTGTAGATTTTCTAATGCCTGGCAGTTTGATTAGTGGATCCTAATGTAAATAAAAGTGAGGCTGGCCATCTATGCATGTCTTCTTATTGTTCAATGCTAAAGAATAAGTCTGACTCTTTTACTTTGAAGGGGATTTCCAACACCTTATTAGATGCCTGATTTAGTAAATGAGAAGGCTTTGGGTGTTTTTATCCTTTAATAATCTTCACTTCACTTTTATATTGATCAAAAGATCAAACAACTTAAGAACATATAATGTTATTGTTCCATTTTTTTAATTTGTTTTATTTCTATTACTTGAGTATCGGATCTGAGTACAATCAATATACAATGATGGCTACTAAAATATACCGGTAATAAACACAACTAAGCCACATTTACACTGAGAAATAGCTGCTTTGTTGGCCACTTAGAGGCAACAGAAACTAACATTACACATGACACTCATATTATCAGCTTTTCAGTTGAAATATTTGCAGCAGAAATATTTGCTACTTTAATGGCTTTTGTGTTGCTTTGCTGTGGTTGAAACTGTGTACAGGTGGCTTTCTAACCACATTTGTAGCTCCCTGCTGAGGCCCCCTCATTTTGCGGAATATGAAACACCTGTGTGGGAAAAAAGTAAGGCTTTTTCACTTATTGTATCCAGTCAGTAAGTCTCTGTCTCAAATATAAGCATGTAGTTTTTCCTTTCATTGCCCATAATAAGGCCTTTCCAGTGCCTTCCTTTGTGAAGATTTTTCTTGGATCACTCATTCAGTCAACACAGGTCAATGGACGTAAGAACAGTTCTGTGTCACAGATTTGAAAACAAAACAAAAGGAAATATTCATATAGTGAGTGTTCTTGTTTCACTTAGCCTCCCAGCTAAATGTCCAGATAAACAAAGTTGTGAGTAGTTATTGCAAAAATAAAAAAAAAAGAATTTGATAACATAAACTGAGCCTGAAATGGAAAAACCCGTAAGATCCACAACCCCCAGGTGAGACTGGACTTAAAGGGGGCTACTCTCAGATTTACTAAAGTGGATTTGAGTTGCCACACTGTGTATACTGTGTTATTCTCACCAGTGTGTCTGAAAGTGGTGCTCAGCTGTTAAGAGTCCATACATCTCACAATGTGTATAGACACATGTAGGGAATGTTTTTGACCTGTATCCTTTCCATTCATGCTTATTGATTCCTTTCATGGTTCCAGTTCACTCATGGGGTGACACGTAGCCTACGGTAAATTACTAAATCCCATCTAATGACAAAGGCGAGCTGAGATAAAGAGAAGCAGATGAGATTCAACAGTTTGAGTTTTATAGTCAACATGTGTATTTATGCAGCATGTGCTTCTGTTCAGTTTTAGCAGTAACACAGTGCAAAAATATTCTGCTACAAGTAAAAGTCCTGCATTCAGTAAAAGTACAAAAGTATTAGCATCAAAACATACTTACTCATACATACTCATCTGATTCTAACTAAAGTTATCAAATACATTTAGTGGAATGAAAAAGGACAATATTTGTCTCTAAAAAGTTGAAGTACCACTTCATACAATGTATTTATTTATAAAGATTTCTCAGCCTGAACTTCCAGTCACACCAGTTCACAGCAATATCTGCATCATAATGTTGCAGTCTCTGCTGGACTCTGGCTGTTGACAAATAAACACTTGCAATTGCTGATAAGAGCTCGAGTGGTGCCATTGATTAATCAGGGACTTCATTATGGTGGCTGTCATTAACAGTGCAACCCCATTGATTCAGCCAGTGAAATGGCTGTGGGAGAAATCAGGAAAGATAACACCACGGTGGTTTGTATTGGATTCACTGCAGGAATCCCAACGCTGCTGCAACCGCATGTAAGACAATGAGCCTCTGGGTAATCCACCGTTTACTTTGAACTGATGCTCTAAACTGGTACTTAAAATATCTCAGTGACACAGCTCTCAGCTAGTTTAGTATTAATATGTTCTGCTGCTTCTTTGAGTGCACTGGAGAGAAGCTCCGATTGCACAACTCAAATTATGTAGGCTACAGTATATCTTGTTTCCAAATGCTATGTAATGCCTGTTCAATCTCATAAAAGGTGGAAATCTCTGGCACTGATGCCACTGATTTTTCATAATCGGTTTCTGTATGTATAGGATAAATACCAGACAGCAATTCATAACAGCAACAGAGCCGTGCCAGTGTGGTAGACAGCAAAAATACTATGCTGGATATGAATTAATGCGCCTGTATGCTCTGCCTGTCATTTCAGGAAAAAAGGCGCATTGCGTAATACTGTACTTGAAATAGCCGGTGTCGGAAGTGTGCCCATGTCGCTGCTGTGTACACCGGGATCTGAGTGGTGGATAAATGCAGGGCAAAGGGTGGGCGATAGTGGAGAAACAGCACAGCGCTGTGGACTGAGCAGGAACTTTGCAATACAGAAATAATTCCAGACAGTCGAGTTAAAAACAGCTGACACATTCAGCCAGCGGAGACTGAGAACATAACGAGTCCACCAATGTAAATAGGAAATGTGAAGTTTGTGTAACTTGGTAACATTATAAACATCATAGCTGCGATCAACAACTCATGTGTTCATTTTGGTTTCCCAATACACTTGTAGTTCCCCGGTGTTCAATATAATACATATTCATCAGCCTAATTATATAAGACGCTTTGATCGTACAAATGTGTTAACCCGTGTCAAATATATATCACGCTGTCTTCACAAGGTCAGCGCAGCGTTTTAACGTGATTTATGCCTGGACAATGGACCGCCTCGTGAATTCTATCTCGTGACGCCCGCCTTTCTAACTCGGCCAATTTTGTCTTTTCATGCTTGGCTCAAAATATATAAAAGCCATTATTGTCGGTGTTAAACCGAACCTGCGCGCCTGAGCCATAACGCATACTAAGTGTCGCTCAAAGCAGAGCACCTCACGGGTCCCACATTGCCTTTTGAGGAATCATTTGATAGCCCTATTAACTTTCATGTAACATTGTTTCTTGAAGACATCCACTGCAAGCGCCTCAGTGTCATTACTGTGAGAAATGTGCTTTCATACTGAACGTCTTTTACAGAAGTCCTGGAAGATACGTAGTCCCACAAACGCCTATAAACACAGAATATTGGCTCAAATTAGGCTTTTTTAGGCAGCGAATTTTGCAAAAACGGTGTTGTCTGTTTTGTTATACAACAGCTAATCACTGATGATAGAAAATAATTGATATTTTTATGTTTACGTGTTAATGTTTTATCTAAATATGTCGTTACGTTGAATATACATTTCCCAGAAAATAATTATCACTGATATACTTCATTAAATTAATGCACAGGCTAATGAAATATTTGTTGCAGGGCATTTATCTCCAAAACGTATTTTTCCACAAATGTTCATCGACTGATACACGATGTTTTAAACTCAACAGAAATATGTGCCTTGCAGGACCTTCGGCAATCCATTCAAGCCAGCAAGTTTGGAGAGCGTGTTGAGTTTAATCAATTCATAACGTCGAGATGGAGCCGAACTCACTGAAGGTAACGTTTGTTATCAGCCGTCGATTTATTTTATTTTCGCACCGAGCTAATCGCCACCTGCTCTAAACTGTACTCGCGTGCCTAATCCACAAAACTTTGACACATGGCATTTAACATAATCACATCTGTGTCATATGTTGAACGTCTAAAAATAGTTAGATGATACTAATTGTGTGCAGAAAACTGGGATATCGTAATGTGATATTTGCCAGCAGTGCGTAATAACGCATGGCTGTTTGAAATGTTTGTGTCCACATAGCAACGATTTGTTTAGCAAATTAGTCGATAAGCCATTCATTAATTTCTCCGTTTGTGTTTTCCTCTACAGTGGGTGGGCTCATCTTGCGGTTTACATGGACCATATATTTTCTATAAAGCCTTTAAATTTAACTGGGACGCCAAACCGAGGATTCTGTCTCTCGGAGACTTTTTCTTCGTCAGATGTAAACCGGAGGATCCTATTTGCATAGCGGAGCTTCAGTTGCTCTGGGAAGAAAGAACAAGCAAGCAACTTTTATCAAGCTCCAAACTTTATTTTCTACCAGAGGATACTCCCCAGGGACGGGCCGTCACTCACGGAGAGGTATGAATATTAATCGCCTGCTGAATAATTATACATGATACGTGGTTTTCCGTGTTTGTTCTTTGTGTCTTCGCTTGTTCTCAAGCATTTTATTAAATAGCATCTTTATTACATTAAGAGTTGGCAGTGGATGTATAGTCTCCAGTGACACAGGCATTCGCATGCATAAACGCATGCATTGATGGTGACATTGATGTATCCGAGCAGTGAAAGGAATGACCTACAGCGGTATTTGTTCTCCAGTTTTACTTCAGCCTATTTGTCTATTGTGGTGTCAACTGCTGAATGTGCACTTGTCCAGCTGCGCTCTGTAAGGCTGCCGCTGCGCTCTATGGGGTTAATTGTGTTATAAAGGGGAAAATCCGCAAGAATCCTGCGCCTATAGGCTCTGTCATTTCATTTCTGGGTAAAGCGTGTCAAATACTGACATATGGGCGGAAATTGCGAAACGGTAATGAATGCACGGGATCAAACTGGCTCAGATCGCTCAGTACGATAGTTATTAGATATTTTGTAATGCAGCCTGATGTTGAAAGGAGCAGAGCGAGTCGTAAAGCGTGGCAGAGCTAACCCAGCTCCGACACGTTTTAACTACTCTCCACGCTTTGCATAATTTTCATACTCAACAATGTGATATTGTCATCTCGTATTTGAGGCGGCACCTAAAACGCCTCTGTTACATTAAGCCGTTGTTGGCACAGAAAAGCAATAGTTATGATTGACTGTGGCCATATGTGGCGCTTGTGATCCGGTTACATCGTCGCATTAAATGACACTACTGTGATTATTGAGAGTTTTTTTCTCACCGGCTATAAAACAATAAAACAAATGATGTTTTGTTTCCCCTCTGATATTCCTCAGCCAGCGACAACAGCACTTTAATTACTACTCTCTGTTTTTGATCACTTGCGGCTGGATGGAAATTATTCTCTGCTGCTTATATTGTTTATAGGGAAGGACAAAGCCGTGTTTGTACTTGACTCTTCCGCTGATGGTTTACTTACATTCTTTCCTCTTGAGTAATAGAGTGGCTATCACATTTCCCTTTCATGGGAAAGATGGCTATTTATGGTCTGCCGCTTAGACAAGCTATCATCTTTGTGGCAGAAGTCTTCTATGAGCGGGTATCAGTTCCTGAAGCCCTCTCGCTTTAGCCTCTAACACGCTACAATCATTTAGTAATTACTTTAAGTGCATGCGTCGCCGATTCTGAGGCCATACTTGCGCAACGACATGTCAGCTCCGCCCCTTTCCTAAAGACTTATTTGCATTGCAAAGTGCTTACATTCCAGTCCGTTGGGTATATCTGGAAAATATTACATTAACTAGCAGAAGGACTGCACTGCCAGTGCAAGTCGCATCTCAAAGAATTTAGGACATAATGTCAAGCACAGATGAAAAGCATCTGCTGTAGTTTGTGTATCTGATAGCAGAGTGAAATCATAAGAGGAATAAAAGCAATTTCCCTGCATTAATTATGCAGTATCTGGCATCATAGTACACAGTCCTGCAAACACAAGTGACAGATGCACTTGCTTTGAAGTTACGCTCTGATTATAGAATATGGCAGACTATAAAATAATATAATTTGAGGATGATATGTTTAAGTGCTACGTAGGTGCCTGAAGGCTGACCTCAATTAAAGGGCTTGTCAAAGCTCCTGCTCTCAGCAAATCAGACTACTTACTGTATATTACAGAGTGGAAATTGCCCTGACAACTTCAAGTCACTTTATGACCTTCACTGAGCCCATTCAGATTCTGGCTGACTTTGCCCCATAACACTAATCTGCACTGCATGAGTCACCTAGGAGCTCTTACAGTACAGATGCAACCCATAATCCAAAAAACAAACAGGAAGGTTAAACCAGCCACACTAAAGCTGTGATGCTAAAAGTCAATGGCTGGTAAACTCTATGCCTGAGTCATGGGCTTGTGTGTGAAAAGACTGTAGCTTTTTTTTTTTTTAAAGGTAAATTGAACATTAGGTAAGAGTTCATTTTTAGCTCCGCTGAGAAATGCAGTTTATAAACCTGACATTAGTCATTTTTTTTTCTTCAGCTTTTAAAACCAGATTAATGGTTGTGGAGTAACGCTGTAAATCTGTAATTTTCTGGCTGCAAATCAGGAGTTCAAATTAGCCCAGTGACTCATACAGATATGAACATGATAACTTGCAGCTCTCAGGAAGTGTGCTATTTTCACAAGGTTTTAGTGGAAAATGAGCACAGGCAGCATCATGACACAGGCTGTAGCCACAACCTGATATTACTGAGCCTCATGACATTTATTCTTATATTGACAACTCAATATTTTCACACAACATAAAAACAGAAGCAGTTTGTGGTGTTTAACATGTAGACAGCTGCTGCTGTGACATCCCCTTTCTCTGTTAGAACTCAATTCATATCTTATAGATGGCTATTATCTTAAGCCTGCAGCTAATATCCTCCAAATACTAAAAGGCAGGACATTTTTGAAGACATCAGAACAGTCTTATATTGAACTAGCTCACTGGAATTGGATTACTGATTCACTTGTTTTCTCAGTGCTGAGGTATGATGTAATTTCCTGGTTATTTCTCAGGTATTTGTTTGCACTCAGCCTCTCCTGTGCTGCGTTTGCTGTCTTTTGCTGTGCTGTGCAACAACAAGAGGAACCAACCCATGACCCACTGTGCTTGTTTTTCTTCTGTCACATTGTTGGAGGTCAATTCCTTTTAAATACAGCCAGCTTTAAATCTAGTCAGCTTTGTCTGGAAATAAAAACGGTGATTCATTGAATAAACCTCACTCTCGGCGCCTGTGTTTGCTGAATATTGGATAAACAGAGCCAGAGAAAAAGTAATAATCTATTTATACTGAGTTAATTATTAAGTCCATATGTGGAGGAAGCTCTATTTTTCATTGTATCGCAGCCTGACAAGCAGTGTTTACCACCACCAGTTGAGCTCTGCTTGCTCTTTAAACAGGCTTTGTGTCGAGTTGCTCACCCATTATGACAAACCCTCAACTGGGGCCTCTGCTCTATTTGTCTGCCTGCAAACTGCCACCGACTAAACAGTCACATGTGTTTTAAAACTCATTGAGTGACACATTATTTCTGGCCTTCGTCTCCTCCTGGTACAGCTTGCCATACTGTAATACTTTCTGTTTTTGGACTCCCCGTTTCAGCAGAGGGCTGTTGTAGATAACAGCTCACCGCGCACAACACCCACTTATTACATACTCTCTGCTTTAGGCGGTTAATTGCTTTTGCTTATCTTATACTATAGACCCCACTTTACTGCAAATACAGCAAGGCACTCTTAATGGGAATTCACAACTGCAGAGAATATTTTTGGATCATGTTATATTAATGTGCTATTATCATCACCTCTGATTTCATCTGACCTCTCTTCTCCTCTGTTCTGTCCCTCTAACTGACAAGGCTTTGGCACACACACATACGCACACACTGACAAGCTGGGGACTGCAGCAGTAGGCTAGTATTGATTGCTGTGGAAAACACTTTGGCATGCATCCAGAGCCATTTCTTCAGTTCATGGCCGTAGTCCATGTTTCAGTGCTTGGAAAGCCAACTTGCGGGGAAATTAGATTGTATTCATTTGCTGCTTCTTTGATTTTTTTCCTAAGGGAAAATCCTGAATGGGTAATTCAGGCATCTGGGATGCTAGTTGAGTTAAGTGTAAGTGGCTTAGATATGCGACCAGCATTTTGATGGATTAAGTCATTTTGCTGAATGCCTGGAGTGTCAGTGTGATATGGCATATTTTTACAGTGGTCGTTTTTAGAATATCCATACTTCTCCCTTGTCCTGACCAGTCTGTGCATTATACCAAATCTCCCCATTCACACAACAATGGCAGGAAGTTTGGGGGGGGGGGGGGGGAGTCAGCGTGCATGTGTGGAGTGCGCGCATGTGTGCCTCCTCTGCCGCAGAACAAGTCATTAACTCTGAACACTGCCCTCCAGTGAATTCCTCACCATTGCTGAAATAGCATGTAAATTATTACCAGCTTTTTAGGATAGTGTAATTTAAAACCTTTAAAATGGAATAGCCTGGACTTCAAAAGCTGTAAAAAGAAACCCGACTAACGTTTCCCATTGGTTTATGAGTTGTCATTTCTGTCCTTTTGCAATTTTCAGATTTTTTTTCTTCATCAAACTGTTTTGTGTTTTGCAGCCTAAGTAATGATATGTTGCAGCAGCGCCGGGTTTGTCAACACACAAGAGACTTTTGGTGCTCTGTAGCTTGGTTTTTTCCACTTTGTCATTGACTAACCACTTGAACAGGCAAACATTTGCCTTGATGCATGACTCCAGTGCCTCAGCTACAGTGGATTGTTATTATAACCTTTGAGGAGAATGCAGCCACAGATATAAAGCTCTTGCTTACAACTCCAGGCACTATTTTTTATTCTTAACTGCTTTTTTTAGATGGAGCATGTGGAATCATCATGCATTTAGTCTTTGTGCATGTGTGTGCTTGCCATTTGTTAAAAGCACAAGGGTACAAAGCTGCAGTGATTCAAGGGAGCTGACACAGGTTTTTTGTGGTGTCACCTTACATGATGGATGCCTCACCCACTTTCGGAAAGGCTTTGAAAACTCCTGTTATCTCGCTATTTTTCTCTGTCATTATAGCTGCGCAAGAATGCTAAGTTCATATATCATCCCAGCTCATGTAACAGCAATCTCTTAATGGAATCAGTGAATAAAAGATGAGTTCAGCACCCTGAAGATATTACAGCAACTTTTATGCAATGAATAAACTACATGGATTAAGTGCCAGAATGTTATGTACAACCATTCTCACCTTTTAAATGTTGTACCTTGAACTCTTTCCAGTCTTGAGGCAGTCTAAGAAAACATATTCTTATTCAATTGTCTCTGACTTTACTCCTGAGAGCTCCTTTTTAATTTCCAGATAAGTTTGTTTTGGGACACTGAAGCCAAGGTCAGTCATGGGGAGGAGAGCTAGATAATGAACTCGTATTGT